GTGTGTGTGTGTGTGACCGGAAATTCATAACTCCGGTTCCAGTGGACCTAGAGAGTTCAAATTTGGTAGGAGTGCAGGCGGCAGGATGTGAACACCAATGGTGGGTGGCGGGGCCGCACTCCGCCCTCAGGAGGCGTGGTTGGTAGCGGAGCCGGACTCCACCCACAGGGGGCGGGCTTTGTGCGGGAACCCATAACTCCAGTCTCCGTGGACCTAGAGGGTCCAAATTTGGTCGGAGTACCCCAGATGGGATGGGAACGCTTACGATTTTGGCAGGATCGGACTCCGCCCACAGGGGGCGGGGTTTGTGTGAAAAACTTAATTTTGGACCTAGAGTGTTCAAATTTGGTAGGAATACAGGCGGCAGGATGGGAACACTTATGTTGGGTGGCAGGACCGAACTCCACCCACAAGGAGCGGGGTTCGAGCAGAAACTTAGGAATCCTGTTCCTATAGACCTAGAGAGTTCAAATTTGGTAGGAGTACAGGCGGCAGCATAGGAACACCAATGCTGGGTGTCAGGGCCGGACTCCGCCCACAGTGGCCCATTGGGCGGGGTTTGAACGGAAAACGGGCTTGCAGAGACTGTCAAAATGGACCGAGAGCTACCAAATTTGGTAGGAATAGAGAAGGCATGATAGGTACACTGATATTAGGTTGCAAGGCCAAACTCCGCCCCAAAGGGCGGGGCGTGAATAAATAGTGTTAATTCGGACCCAGACCGTTGAAATCTGAAGGCACGAGGAGTTGGCTGGGAACATTGATGGTTGCTAACACAATAGACTCAGCCGCAATGAAGTCTCTGGATATTTTTTTTTCTCCGAATGATCGCCTTTGTGATATTATACGATGTTCTATTCGGGCACAGCGAAAATGGCTTATAGAATAAATTGCTCTCAATTCGGCGCTAATACTGAGGGTGTAGAGCTTTCAAAGAAAAAGCAGAATCCGAAGTGTTATTCACGCATAGCAAATTTCTCACAGGAAGGAGGAACGCCCGGCGTAGCCGGGCGAACCCATAAGAAGGAGGGAAGCCTGGCGTTAGCCGGGCGGCACCAAGTAATTTCTCAGGCTATATGGCGCTGGCTCAGATGGCATCAAGCACAAAAGTAGGTAGTTAGAACGAAGTGCTTCGCAGAAAAATGAAAAGGGACAAACAAAAAGGACATGTAAGGTAGTACCACAATATGGTCAAGCGTGTCAGATATTTCAGCATCGCCTTCGAAGTCATTGAATCTTACATGGTCTTACAAGAAATGTCTTTCAGCGCATTTGACGCTTTTTGAAAATAATTCTTCGCATGGTGTAGGGGCTTGAGCACTGAGTACAGAACTATGCTCCATTTCCGCTTATTGGCCTTCTGAATTCCAGAAAAGGAGTGAAAATGATTTTGTCAGGAATTGCCGTTTTAACCCATTGAGCGACGTTTGTTTTATTCATGGCGTCGAGTGTCCGCACAGTAGAAGCCGCCAGTGGACTGCGCATTGAAAATAATGTGAACGGTAGCCAAAAAGGGAGCCACATGTTGAAAAGTGCGAGGAAGTTTCATATGTGCTCTCCACAATTAAGCTGTTGGCAGCGACGGATGGTGTGGTGGATAACGACGTGAACTTCGAGTTGGGACGACTAGGCTGGATTGGTGGTTCGAATCGATTAGGCTTTGCCGTTCTTGCATTTCATGCTGCCACCTCCAGATTGGCTCCATTTCCACCAGGGCCAAAGCAAGTGCGCATCTCATTTCAATGATTTCACCGTTTTTTACCCTAGCGTTGATCTGCGGCCGTTGAAGGGGTTTTGTCCTATGTTCTGGTTGGTCATCTCCATTTCTTCTCTTCTCACGATCAGTATCTTCTGCAGATACCTCGACTTCAGCAACGCCCTTCTTGATCACGTCCTGCTGCCTTTCATAGCAGGACGCGGGGTTAGATGTTAGGGAACGGACATCGCCAAAAGCCGTCATTTAGTCATTAATCTAGTAACCCAGCGCTAGAATGATTTCCTTTACGGGTGACAGCTTTTTATACCAACCCTAATGCTCATAGATGCTTCAGCAAGAAGGCGAGTGGCTCCAGGGCTTTGGCCCTGGTGGAATATGGAGCCAATCTGGAGGTGGCAGCATGAAATGCAAGAACGGCAAAGCCTAGGGGATCCCAACCATCAACAAAGCCTAGTCGTCCCAACTCGGAGCCCACGTTACTATCCACCACACCATCCGTTGCTGTCAGCAGCTTTTTTGTGGAGAGCACACATGAAACTTCCCCGCACTTTTCATCATGTGGCTCCCTTTTTTGGCTACCGTTCACGTTATTTTCAATGCGCAATCCACTGACGCCTTCTACTGTGCGGGCAGTCGACGCCATGAATGAAACAGACGCCGCTCAGTGGGTTGAAACGGCAATTTCTGACAAAATCATTTGTACTCCTTTTTTGGCATTCAGAAGGCCATTTAGCGGAAATGAAGCATAGTTCTGTACTCAGTGCTCATGCCCCTACACGATGCAAAGAACCGTTTTCAAAAAGCGTTCCACGCCCTGAAAGACCTTCCTTGTTAGAGCAGCGTTGGCCTTTTTCTTCAGACCACTGCCACCTACACTTCTTGATACATTTACATCGTTAGTTGATGTGGTTATAAGTAAATAAAAAGAATAAAGCTATGATGAGATGATCGAACGAATAGCACTACTTTTCGAGCGAGTCTAATCTTGAAAATAATACAGGTGGAAGTAGCAGTTGTTAGCGAACCCAATTTCTCACTATCGTTTGTCAAACAATTTTCGTCAACCACTATTTCCTACGAATGGTATTGTTGATATCGTCTCTCGAGCAGTACAAGCGTAACACACTTCTCCATTCGTTGCCGATTGCGAATTTGCCACAAGTACTTGCCACTTTTGCGTGATGCATGGCTAATTATCTCCTCAACTCTCAGGTGTTCCTTTCTGGTCCGAACAACGACTAGCCACCGTGACAATCCTGAAGACTCCTACTTCCGGAGTTAACTTGGCGAAGAGATAGCACACACAGTCCGCTCTGAGCAGATAGCAAAGGGATCACAAGCGTTGGGGATAGTAGTTGCACCGTAGATGTGTTTATGAATGCTAATCACGATTTTATCATGCAAGTGATAGAAGCAAAATCGTATTGAGCGCAGTTGCGTCGAGGAGATTCGAGTTTCCATTGAGAGATTATCGCGAATGCTGCAAAACCACTGTCTTGCCGTGGAAATTGTGATGTCAATCCCTTCACGCTTATCGAATTCGGTTCAGTATTGGTGCCGAGGGTCTATTTCCTCTGTCGCATTTCTTTCTCATTTGCTATTTCACCTCGCCATCGAAAAGCGTTTCAGTGTGGTTGGTATAATACTTCTCAACTGAGCCTGGTTTCAATGAGTTGGCTGCTTTATTCTTTTCAATGCTGATTTTCTGCATCAGTTTACTTGCTAAATATTCACTTCTAGAATACCCAAACCTCTATGGTGTATCCCACTTCAACCGTGCTCATATGAGAACTTCCAGTTGTAGTGCTCCAATGGTATAGCCGCTCTACTGAAATTAAATGTTTTTACGTATAATACCTTACTACAACTATTTTTGTGTGGCGAAACGCACAGTAGAACTTGAGCGTTATCAAAAACGTGGAAGATTTCCTTTCTGTTTCTATTTTTTTTTCTTGATTGTATTATACATCTCAGAGGGTCTTGGATTCTAATTTCGAGCGTCATTTTTCGGTCACATCTTGAGATGAAATACTTTTGTTTGGTCGTTGACCTTCACAAACAAGGAGTACTTGTCTCAGGTCTTGAATCCGATAATCTACACGATGTATAATGGTGATTTTCGGCGTTGCTTCCGTGATTTGCTTTCATTCGGTTGTGTCCAGCATCATCGACGAACGATGAGCGTCAAAAAACTTCATCAGCAAAGTACTATTTTCTGATCAAAAATCAGGGTACTCGGTGAGTCGCGTTTGATAACCTATTGAAGTTTTCAAGGTAGTGTTTTGAAATTTTTTTCAGATATGATTCTATCAAAGTTATTTGGCTCCATGTGATCTCCTGCCTTGTGTTGATTTTCAATTTCATTGAATGTTTGTTTAATTGCGATGCCGCATTGCTTAAGTTTACGGACATTGTTATGGATATTTAGCAGTCGTACATAAAGCATTACGGAGAAAATGGAACAATTCTAGAAATTTTCAAATTTTTCTAAAAATTCCGAAAAATGGATGGAAGCTGTGAAGCTACCAGTGGCACTCTATAGATAGCCACACGCATTGCTCGATATTATGAATTATATTAGGCAGTGAAGGCAATGAGTGCGGTTGTCGTGTACGACGATTGGGTCTATGGTTTGAATCCGTAAAAGGTTTGCCATTCTGCAAATAACTTGTGCGCAGTATCAAATGCGATGTATGTTTATGCAGAGCGGGAGTTTCTAAATAACTAGAGTGAAGGGAGAGCAGCTGGTAAGCGTTTTGTCCATCGTCTACAAGGTGAAGAGTACGACTCCTTAGTAATATCACATTCTCGTCAAACACTTCCAGAAATATATCATAAATATGTCATATATCTCCTTAAAATATAGCGGGCAAAAGAACATGAGGCGCAGTTCACGGTAGAAAAGGTCCCTACGACTTTCTAAAGAATTACACAGTGGGCCCCAAAGGTTAAACACATTGTCGGGATGTGAAGTCCCTTCTAGGAACCTTGAGACTACACTGAAGAAAGATGGCTCTGTTCCGAGTGTGGGGCGAAATACAGCGATTTGTAAATTTATTGTGACGGCAACAAAAAAAAACACGAACGAATTAACCAAAGACAAGGCGGAAAGCGAAAAGATCCGGCAAAAGATTCACCCGTGGGTTGGGCACAGAGGGACCCGCTGGACGTCCAACCGCAGAAGAACTTGCCACCTAGGCCTCCCTCAATTTACCTAGCTCAGGAACCACGGAGGTTAAGCCCACCAGCGCTCACTAAGGGTGCTACGTCAGGGTTTTCCAGGAAATCCACGGGTGCGCTTCGTTGCGCGTGTCCGTAGAAACTAGGTCACGCCGCAGCCGTCGCACGCGGCGAGTCGGCCCGCGATATTTGACAGATGTCGCAATTGTCACTGGGGCATACGCTCTGGGTTTGATCCACGGCCATCAGTTCAAGAAGATAACACAGACAAATGCAAATCATTTGCTCCAATGACACTTGGTGGTACTGTAATGTCATCTCCAGACCTTAGTGTGATGCGCCGCGCGCGAAGTGGGCGGAGTGACCTACTTTCGACGGACACGCGCAACGGACGTTCTCCGGGAATCCACAACCCCATGAGGGCAGACGGCTGGCGGCGGGAGACAAAAAACAAATGACGACAACGACCTCTTCCTCCTGGAGTCCCCTTTTAAACGGTCCTTCCCGCGCCTTTTCTTTCCTCTGGCATGATTACTCCTGCGGCCTCCTACTTCGTGATCACCAGATCACCTACAGTAATCTGATCACCCTCAACCCATCGGTGTGCTGATCTTCGAGGGCAATTCTTCTTCGGCAAGACCCCACCGATGCGGTTCTCTCTAACCCGTCCTGACAGGTATGAAAAACTCAACTCAAAGAGGGACAGGTTATAATATGAGCCAAACTGCAGGACTCGTCGACGTCCACGCTTATCTACCGATGATATGTCAGACCAGTGTCGAGGCGATATAGATTGCAATATTCGTACCCACACGTTCAGCATGGAACCAGCTGATCGCCGGGTTATGAGGTGATGTTTTACTCTCATTCTCTTATTCTCTGTTACTCTTTGCTGCTTCGGTCACTTTGCTGGTTTAATATCCCTGAGAGGATGAAAGAGTTTATGCATGAATGAACTTAACAAGGCATTTTTGCTTACTGTAGACAGCTATTCGCGACAAGGCCTACACGTACGCAATGACATGCAGTGTTTAGCTCGTAGTAACACCTCTCCTACTTTATTTTTCTGGTCTTCTTCTTGTTCAACTCTCTTTTTGGTACTATTCTACTATTACACCCCCAACAACCCAAAATTTTAATTTTCGATGAAACTTCGCCTATAAGAGTAATCCGATGCCCTGATAACGAATGTGACCTTTATTTTTGGCGCTGGCGCCATTTGGCGCAAATTGGCGCCAATTTGGCGTTAAGAGTGTTTTCACCAAATTTGCTGAAAACTTACGTTTAGGGGTTATTTGAGGTCCTGATAACAAATATAACATTCATTTTTGGCGCTTACGCCGTTTGGCTCCAACTGGCGCCAATTTGGCGCCAAATTGGCGCCAATCGGAGCCAAATGGCGCCAGCGCCAAAAATGAAGGTCATATTCGTTATCAGGGCTCCGGATTACCCCTATAGGCGAAGTTTCGTCGAAAATTAAAATTTTGAGTTTTTGGGGGTGTAACAGTAGAATAGTTCTGGGGGTGTAATAGTAGAATAGTGCCCTCTTTTTAATGTCTTTTCGAAGCCTTTTATCACTATGAAAACGCCGATTCGCGTGCTTTCTTCGCCTTTATCGCGCTATTCCCCACCTCTTTCATTTTTTGTCATAATCTGGATGACCGAAAATCATCGTGAACTATGCTATAGGTTCGATGAAATCGTAGGAGCTGTCACAGAATAGTGTGGTGCGGTAGAATCAAAATTGTCGCGTCGCGGGACGCCGCGCGGGAAGGGATGTTTTAGGCAACCAAAAAAAATTCGTGCGTTTTTTTTCTAAGTGATTATTTCTATGTGATGTTTCGAATAAACTGATTGTGATAGGAGGGTAACACTGCAGATGCTTCGGAGCTTGTTTTATGCAGAATCATTCAGTGTGTCTCATAAGTGTTTAAAAGAAAAGGTGCTGTATTTCAACGCCAGACCGCACACAGCAAGAGTCACGCGGTAAACTCTAGCACCTTTACAATGGGAGATTCTGCCTCACCCTCTGTATTTACCAGATCTTGCCCCAAGCGTCTCCTCACCCTCTGTATTTACCAAATCTTGCCCCAAGCGTCTATCTCCTATTTTTGGCCCTGGGTAGTCACATGAGGAATCGGCAGTTTCAAAGTAGAGAAGAGTCCGAAAGAAGGTTGAATAAATTTTTTAGCTCCAAAACTCAAGACTTCTATAAAGTGGAGTATACCAGCTTGTTTCATGGTGGGAGAAGGCCATTACTGCTGAAGGAGACTATTTTTCAGAATAAACTTAGATGAACCGTTTTATATTTATATATTTGTCCGCTTGCAGAACCGCACGAACTTCTTTGGCTACCTGATAGCAATTCAGCAGCAGGTAAGAAATACAGCAACAAAAGAACTAACAGTAGAATCAGGCCTAAAATAATGATATCGATTCAGCTGTATGAAGAACGTTAGAGCTGTGGTAACGGCGAAGCGAAACGTCCGCGGCGAATCGATCACGCAAAACCGATCCTTCTGCCCGTCCTCTCGAGAACATTGATCGGCGGAAACGCCATTTTTCCTACAGATTCCGAACCTGCAAAAGAGTGTAAAGTTTGCCTCATCATATTCAAAACCTGTTCAGAACCATCGACCTCGCAGGTTCAAATACCCACTCTTATCCGCTGTGCTTCTGCTCCACATCTTAACCATAATGTGAGTCTTCACATACAATGGACACTAACTAGCCAAATCTCCCTAGAGCAAATCCTTTCTGTCAGTTCTCTCTCACTTAATGAGTTCTAGCATTACAAGCAGCAACATATATGGTGTTGACCTTGCCAAAACACCGCTGAGGACGTCGGCTCAAGGGGCGAGTCTTCACTCCATGAACTGGACTCTCGATGAGGCAAGGCCCCACGAACCGTTCTGCTACTCGGATTGGTCTCTCGGGCTCCAACAAAAACATTGAACGTTTACAGTAAAAGTGGTCGTCTTGAATTGTGCCTATTAAGGTGCAGTAGTCAACAGGGAAGCGTTTTGCTTTATTTTTACAATACACAGTTTTCGAACAAACTCTACTCTCAAAATGCGTCAAATGCTCAAACTATCGAGGCAGCTCAATGAGAGGAACATAAAAGCGATTCATTTGAGGTGTCTTGAAGAATGACGATTTTTCGTAAATTTGAAATTTTCATAGGGGAGGGGGAGGAAGGAAGAGGAGGGGATGGGGAGAACTAATGAGAACTTTTCGAATCTTTCTCTCAAAATGAGTCAACTTCATCATTTTCTGATGAGGAAGTTATTATAGCACGATACATATGAAGTGTTTCGAAACTGTTATTACATTCAGGAATTTCTAAGTTTTCATGCGGCGAAAATTGCAGAACTTTCGGAAAAAATTTATGATCGGTCAAATTCATCAGTTCGGAAACGAAGCTCGGAAAAATTACTCGATATATTCTGAAGAGGTGGTTTAGTGGCAAGTGGAGCACTATCTCACACGCACGGTCACTGGTTCGAATCCCGGATCGATGCCCGCCTAGGCCAACCAAGCCTTCCAC